TTTTTTTTTTTTTTTTTTTTTTTGCCATTTCTTTTCTTGTGAACTATTAAGGGAATTGGAAGAAAATATTGTCGATGTATACAAATAAAAGTTGCCTTAGTCGTTTGTTAGTATGTTATATCGTGTTCTATGTGTTCATGGTTATGGAGGTGATATTAATTTTTAGTTACTAACATTCATTAAATTCCGTTTTTCAATATTGTATGGTTTTGTGTGTTCATTCTCATACTGTTCTGCTTATTCTTAAAAAACCACCAGGTGAGTGTCCGTCAAAATATGGACATGAGATAATGTTCAAAACCGGTTGAGATGAGTATGGGGAAAAACAAAATGTAGGCTTAAATGTTCTGCGATGTTGTAATGTAATTTTTATGAATAATTAGAAAATAAAAGTCTTGATAATAAATTAAAAAACAACAATAAACTTAGACCATCTTCTAGAAATGGTATCGAAGGAATTCAAATCATGCTCGAGAACAATCAAGGTACGTATGATAAGTCTACGTGGGGCGCTGAAAATACCTCGACGTTTATGTGAAGCAAATTAAGTGTTATTGGGAGGGGGGGTCACACTATGTGTTTCGAATGGATATTTGAGAAGGAACCGGATAAGAAGGAATAAAGCTGGCAATAAACGTAGTCTTTTTCCCAAGGCACCCGTGCTATCCCGAATGACCTCCTCTTGCCTAGACCCGTTCCAAAAAGTCATGTTCTCTAACCCCTTTGCTCCTATCTCATCAAAGTCGCCCAAGCAAAAGAGGAGAAGAAAGGTGAGGCTATCGACGATTTGCCCAATCTCGATCGCTAGGAATGACTCTTCCTGGATCCACGACCTTCGAAGTTGGCTGGGGAGAGTTGCGGCACGCCGGGGGTGGTGCAATGTTGTTGCGGTGGAGCCAACGCCTACTTCTGATATCTTCACCTCGTACTCAGGCGAGGAGAATGGTTACTACAGACTACTTCCTAGCGATCGGGGCTCGGAAAGGTCGGCGAAGACGTGTTACCTTTTTCAAATCTTTTGTGGACGGATGACTGACTTAGGATACCTAAGGCCGGCCACAAGTAGGAACCGCCTCGATTATGGTGGATTGGAGCCAAAAGAAGTTCTGATCCCAGTGACAAATTTATCCGAATTGGAAAGTGAGCCCTGCCAGAGAATGACAAAGGGCAAACGTGGACAGGCAAGTGCGTATGACTCTATCGCATGGGGCCCTGAAAAGACTAAGGGGCATATGGGATCAGAAATCGAAGATAATAAACGAATCAGGCATACAAACAAAATAGGAAGCGTCTTAATTAACCTCAATAAGAGTTCAAAGAAGTTTCGGTCCCGATTAAATGTTTGCAAAACCATGAAAGTGAACCTATACATCTATATTTGCATGAACAAATAAATTCCGATGTGAATTAACATTGATTAACCTCGATAGACGTGTTAAAAAAAAAAAAACGAACTGACTCCTTTTTTTTTTTTATCGTCCGTGCTTCGCATTTTGGCTGCGTTCTTTGTGTTGCACTACGTCTTCTTTGTTTTTTTGTTTTTTTTTTCTTTTCTACTTGACACTATATTACTCTTCTTCATATAATTACATCTATATATGGATGTTTTGAGGTGTATTCTTTTCGTTCCGGTTTTCTGTATGCAACTTATTCTGCCTGTCCATCGTGACTTGCCCATGTACAAATACGTACGTGTGTGCCTATTAGCATGGCAGAGGACCAAGGTCCACAGGACGATTCAACCAACAGTAATTTATGCACCGTTCCAACCTTCTCTTCACCTGCGGATAGGTCTTTGCATGTTCCGTGGAAGCGTCGCAAACGCCTTCGGCGTTGTGAAAAGGTTGTTAAGGATCCTCGGGTGTCTTCGCCAATGGTATCAGAGTGTACTGGGTGTCCTTCCGTTCTTCCAGGTCAAGTGGGTTTGTCTTCGTTAGACTGCCCTTCTTCCTCGTCGAACAATGGATTGAGATTGTGTACATGTTCGAATATTACTCCTGGTCACTCTGCGAGTGACACACCGATGTCATCACAACACGAACACCACAAACGCGGACTACCAGTTTTCGAAATCGTCGAACCCGAAGGTCTTTCCAACAAGCGGTAGGTACTGCAAGTGAGGGTATTGCTCCCATGAGAGATAAACAACCAATGATAACTCAAGATGATGGTCCTGATTGTTCTCGCGAAGAACAATATAGTGATAGGTCTCTATCTTTTCGACAAGTGATTCCATCGATGAATGATTTCACAAGTCTTGTGTTTTTCAAAAGAACGAGTCAAGGAAGCACGGATTGCATTAGTTGTTATGACAATCTTTCTATGACCTTGCAAAGTGAGCATGCACTTGAAATTCGTACGGATGTTGCAATAAATGCAGATTCCATTTCGATGGTCGAAAGATCGGTTTTACTAGATGATTTTCCCTTGCACTCGCCACATGTGCACAATTGTTCATCGTCGACATTGACTGCCGATGTCCAGCCAAAATGTGTGGAGAGCAACCTTTCTCCCACTTTGACAAATGTTCATGCACATTCATCTGTTGCTGCTACGTCTCAACCGAATTCACCGAACACATTAATTAAAATGTTTATTGGATCTCATAATTGAAGGAGAAAATTATTATTGTGGAAACCGATTCGTTCAAGGCGCAACAGATGGTACCGTATGTTGTTGATTCAACGACTGCGTGCGAATAAAGTCGTGCGCCGTTTGGAACTTGGATCTTTGTCGTCGATGCCTCACTGTGTGTCATCGGGCTATGCTGCAAGTGGAATAGTTGTTGAAAGTACTGTAGAGGCTGGTGAAGGGACGGAACAAGTCGATAGAACGAATGTGAATGAGCCATGTTCTACGTCGCGTATAATTTCAAAATGAAGGAAATGCCAGGGAAGACGATCAAACTTTCATGTTCAACATATGTGTGCATTGAGAGTTGCGCTTGAGAATCATAGGAAGAAAGAAGATGTGCGTGTTTATAAAGATTTTATGCAGAGTGTGAGGCGAAGTTTGTTCGCTGTGAATATTCTTCGAGAGATTCGAGCGAGCGCCTCTGCGCAATCGAGGACTGCATCTTCTCCTGTGAGACAATCGCCGAGTCCATCTTCTCGGGTGAGGCACTCGCAGAGTCTGTCATCTCGAGCGAGACATTCGCAGAATCCATCCGTGAGAAATCAAAATTCCATGAACAATCGTGAAGACAGTGAACCAAATAGTTGCGAGGAAGAAATGAATGATTCGCATGATGTTCCGGCTCCTGATCCTAATGCACTCCCATCGGCACCTAAGGCAGCAACGTATGAGGTGGTTGAGAACACCGTTGCGATTTTAAGGAATGCTAGCACTGTTGAACCCTTTGGGATCGGTGGTCGAGATCAGTGTAAGCATTGTGGTGCTAAATTGTGGCATCATGAAACAAAATGGACAAAGATGTGTTGCCGAAAAGGTACAAAATGTTGCCCTTTATGGGAATGGCCTTGCGAAGGCTCCCCGGAACATGAGATTCTTTCCCTTTGGACATCTCAAAGTTCTGACGGCCGATTCCTTCGAAACAATGCGAGGATAATTAATAAAAGTTTATCCCTCACATCCTCACAGTTGAAGCAGCCGAGCAATGGTGTTCAAGGATTCCAAGACCAACTTCGGGCTTAAGGTCCAATCTTTCATCGTATCGGTGCAATGGCTGTCGGGGAAGGGGAACGTCCTCAGTTTGCGCAACTATACTTGCACGATCCTCAACGTTTGGACGATGCGATTGATCAAAGGGTAGATTTCCTTAACTTACCTACACGTACGTCCGATGTATAACTTGATCGAGCGAAACACATATTGAGAAGGTTTCACGAATTGCTACAACAATATAACAATTACGTGAAGGACTTTATGACGGTTACTGACCTTCCGCAGGAAGTCTTGAATGGGAGGAAGTTGGTCATAAATCCGGATGTCATGCCTGAGGAGGAACATGCAAGGCGTTATAACCGTCATATGGGTCTACATGAGGTGTGTGTTCTGATGGCTGATGAACTCCTTCCTCGTGAGCTCGAGATTCGTTTGCGTGCTCCTCTTCCTGGTGAGCGGCAGACAGTTGTGGTTCCGGAATGTTCTCGAGCGCACGACTGCTTAAGGTTTGTTTTACTTTTCCCGGAAGGAATTGATAGTTGGTCTGTCCGACGTGACTCGGAGGCTGGATGGCCGTCAGGACTTAGTGCTAAGGAGTACTACGCATTTCACCTCCACGAGCGTGATGGTGAAAGACCTTGCTTCCTTTATGCATCACGTCACTTCCACGAGTTTTGTTGCATGGCGTACGCTACAGTTGAATTCCTCCATTTAAAATGAGTGAGATTCCATAAAAAAGAATTGCGCTCAGAGTATTATCAGGATTTACGAGACGTTGTGTAACAAAATCAACGTGGTGACAGTATTGGGACAAAAGTGGTTTTACCATCAACGTTTACTAAGAGGCCCCGATATAGGAGTGAAAGATATCATGACAGGATGACAATTGTGAGACGATTCGGAAAACCGGATCTTTTCATCACTATGACGTGCAACACTAACTGGTCGGAGATCAAACAAGCCCTATTGCCAGATCAATGTCCTAACGACAGGCAGAATCTTATGGCGCGAGTGTTCAAAGGTTATCTTGCACAGCGGATTGATGAGATACAGAACAAACGGATCTTTGGTAGGGTGAGTGAAATATTGTATGTGGTGGAGTTTCAGAAAAGGGGTCTACCACACTCACATATATTGGTTATCCTGCATCCGAATGATAAAATTCGGGATGCGGATGTTGTTGACAATGTGGTGTGTGTAGAGATTCCTCCGGAAGGGGAATTGAGAGAAAAGGTAGCCAAGTTCATGTTTCACAGGATTTGCAATGCGGAGAAACGCGACACTTTGTGTACAGAGGACGGAGAATGCACAAAAGGGTTTCTGAAAGACTTCATTTCCACAACAACATTCAAAGATGAACAAACGTACCCTTCGTACAGGAGAAGAAAACCAAGTGACGGTGGTTTTACGATTGTTCAAAATGGTGTCGTTTACGAAAATCGCCGTGTGGTCCCATATAACCCGTACTTGCTAATGAGGTTTAATTGCCACTTAAATGTTGAATATTGTGCTAACATCAAGGCGTGTAAGTACGTGTATAAGTACGTGTACAAAGCGTGTGATCGTGCTATGGTTTGCTAACACAATAATAATGCGTCCATCGATGAAGTAAAATTGTATCAAGATATGCGTGTTGTGAGTGCATGCGAAGCATGTTGGCGTCTATTTGAGTTCGACATTGCGGAACAATGGCCCGCGGTGGAAAAATTGTTTGTGCATCTCGAAAACATGCAAAAAGTGCAATTCGAACCCGGCACTGAGCATGAGGTTGTTTCACATAAACCCCCAAAAATAAAATTGACGGCATGGATGAAACACAACTCTTTGAATGAAGGTGTTCCTAAAGAGGAGCGTCCTCTTTACGCAGAAATCGTTAATACTCATGTATGGGATAACAAATATAAGAAATGGAACCGAAGAAAACAGGATCTCCACGATGGTCCCTTCGAAACGATATCTCGGTTTGCATCACGTGAGGATCACCGAAGGGGAATGATTCTATCTGCATATGTTGTTAAACCATGAACATTCTCGTGGGGTACGCTCTTTTGCCGAAATTCCTACGGTCGACGGAGTCAAATACGATTCATTCCGATCTGTGTATCTTCGATTAGGCATTTTGTAAACAGACGATCCATACGATCAATGCATTGACACAGCCGTTGCGCATTACATGCCTGAAGAAGTTCATAAAATATTTGCTATGATTCTTGCGTTTGGTGCAGTGAACGATCCGGTCCGTTTTTTCGAACGACATTGGGATAGGATATGTGGCGATTTTCAGTATCATGCAGACAATGAAATTGTTCCACCGAACATTTTGCAATCCTTAGTGTTGTTCCATCTTGACCTTATTTTGCAAGAGTCTAGAAAAAACATTCGCCTGTTCTGCCTTTATTATCCAACACCCGACGCGATTGTTGAGAACATAACCAGACATTACGAGAACAGAACTATATTCTCGATTCTAAACGACGAGTTATCGTATGATCCGATTCAAATGCAACGAAAATATGAGTCTAATTTTCGACGTCTTCGTCCACGTCAACGAGTGTTGGTGGAAATAGTCGTTCGGGCTGCGCAAGAGAAAAGATCGTTGTGTGCTTTTGTCGATTCACCGGCCTGAACAGGGAAGACTTTTTGCATTGAAACGATTTTAGCGGGTATCAGGTCGCGTTCTGCCATTGCATTGGCCGTCGTGTCAAGTGGCATAGCGACGACTCTTTTGATGGGGGGTCGAACGTTTCACTCACGATTCCTCGCATCTTTAAAACCTGATAACACACGTCCCTTCTTGATTGCGAAACAAAGTGATCTTGCGGAGCTTATCCGCCGTGCCGACTTAATTGTTTGGGACGAGGTTCCGATGAGTAATAAGTATCACTTGGAAGCTCTTGACATCACGCTTCGTGACCTCTGTAACAATGACGAACCGTTTGATGAGAAGTTATACTTCTAGCTGGGGATTTCAGACAAGTTTTGCCCGTTGTAAAAAACGGATCGCGAGCGCAACAAATTAATGCGTCCATGAAAATGTCTCCTTTGTGGAAACGTTTTGAGGTTCATCAAGTAACCGAAAATATGCGTATCTTAAGCTTAGGGAATGATGAAATGATATGAATGTATGCCCACATTTTGATGCGTATTGGGAATGGTGACCATCCTCGTGTTGTTCCTAATGAACCTGCTGTGGTCAGATTCCCACGTGAGATTTGTACGGATAAACCAATTGATGAGTTGATTTCATGGACGTTTGATGATGTGTCGAACCATGTGGGGGATGTCGAGTATTTTTTGCCTCGATTAATTTTATGCCCTACTAATGATGATGCCAATTATATTAACAACCGTATTGTTGACGACTTCAATGGGGAGGTGCGTGACCTTTTCAGCGTTGATTATCCTGATTCGGATGATACCGGGCTTGGTATTGAGCGAGAGTTTTTAAACTCTCTCGACAAATCTGTCCTTCCACCTCACAAGCTGCACTTAAAAATTGGCGCTTCTGTGATGCTTTTGCGAAATTTGAACCGAAGAAAGGACTTTGTAATGGTACAAGGCTGATTTTGAAGAAGATCGTTAATGATGATTTGTTGGAAGTGATAATAATGCACACGGGTAAAATATAATTGATCCCCAAGATTGATCTCACAAGCGATGGTGAGACAACGGGGTTCAAATGGTTTATGAGGCAATTTCCAGTCCCTCTTGCTTTTGCTGTAACGATTAACAACACGCAAGGACAAACCGTATCGCGTGTCGGAGTTTAGCTACGGAAACCAGTTTTTGCGCATGGACAACTGTATGTTGCTTTGTCGCGTGTTGGTCATCCCAACAACATTCGTGTTGCGTTACCTGATAAGAATTTTTTAACAAAGAACATTGTATATCATGAACTTTTGGGATGAGTCTTTTTTTTTTTTTATCGAATCTTGGCATTCCAAATAATTCTGTCATATTCTTTCTTTGCAGGCAACTCTCGAATGCCGCATAAGTACGACACTCGTGCTAAGAGGAAAACAATGGGAAATAACAACACCACTCAATATGATACGGATGTTACGTCAAAACCTGGAGGCGAACATTCGGAGAGGTCGAAGAAAAGTGGAAATGGTGAGAGGTCGTTGAATCTTAGAAGTGAACATCCTCAGGACGATCATCATGTTCTTGGTGAGGTTGAACGTCGATGTTCTCGAGGGAATACCCTTGATGATGCTGAGAACATGGTTGTGGAGGTGGGTGGTGACGATTGTCGTGCCGATGGGGATGGTTCGCGTAGACGTAAGTCGGGTGGGCCTTTTAACCTTACATTTGCTGATGATGAGGATGATACCGTTACAGGCGATTCAAAAGAAGACTCTGTTCGATCTACTTTCAAGAGGAAAAAAAGTCGTGGTGCAAAAACAAATCTTTTGGATTCCCCCGAAGTGGCGGAGCCTACCTTGGCTGATAATCGGGTGGGACGACAACCTGTTGTTCATGAAATAGGAACTCGGATTGTAAGAGTGTTGAATGCGCTGCCTGATGATGCACTTTTATCTCTTCCGTTTTGTGCACCGCTTGCTGGGCGTGCATGTGTTCATGATTCGAGTTCGCAATCTCAACGCAGTGGACGCGAAAGATATTTTTGCGCCTCATCGCAACCATAAAATCCTCCGGGGGTTATTGTGGTGCCCGATGATAATGATGCACCCACAATTCGCACTCTGAATCCGCGCGCTTACCTTACTAGATGGTTTGACGATGGGAAGAAGGTTGACATCCAAAATGTCTTGACTGAGGTGCTTTTTGAAATGTTTGTCAAAAGTACCACAGTCGTGAAAGATGGACGAATATGGGAAAACTTCCTCAAGTGGAAAACAAACAAACTCACTAATATGCGGTTGGAACGACGATTCCCTCTTCCTTCAAACCCGCTGAATGTTTCGGATTTGGAGACTTCTTTCCATGTTGCAATCATTTTTGAACGATGAGTTCATCGCTCTGTCTAATGAGGAGATTACTAGGATGACATTTGATTTGCCGCATTGTCGGACAGAAGGGACCATTCCCGAAGCCTTTCACAAATATGCACGGATACAGCAACTTCTTAAAAGGATTCCTCTCGTGGTTGCTTCTTCCACTCCTCATTCCGCTCCGGTCCGTAGACTTCCTCTTCAAGCAGTATCTCCTCCAAATTTTCAACGTCGTGCAGATTATGCTTCACCCTCCAATATGTCAACGCCGATTGTCACTACTTTTGTTGTTGTTTCTGCTTTGCCGGCCGCTACGGCTACTCCGTCTCTTGCCAGTTGTGTTGTGCCCGCTCATACGACCTCAAGCGACCATCTGCATGTCCACAAAGGACCATTGGAGCTACCAAGTTCTTCTAATTTCAACATGACCATGTACGACTCTGTTGAATTTATTGGTCCGAAAAAGACACTTGCACACCTGTCCTATCTTGACAGTTCTCACAGGGTGCAAGATATTGTGGAAGCAGCAGCGGTATTGAATACGAGTATGAACAATTGGAGATGTGTGGATGCTGCAATTCATCTCGATTACAATCGGCAAAGACAGGCTCGATTCGGAACGTTCGAGGAGTATCATCGCAAAGTGTTGCAACGAGTTTCTGTTCGTGAGGTGTTGCAAAACTATCGTTCCAATGAAGGAAGTTGATTGGTCTTATAAGAGAGATAGGAAGACAAAGATGTTGATTGGGCGGTTGTCCGGGCGTTGCCTTAATGACAAATTCTTAGATGGTTGTCTTCGGTTTCAATTACGTAATTGCCCCTACAAGAGAGATGGGAAGGGAAAGACAAATAAATAAGGGGGGAAGGAGAGAGAGAGATAGAGATAGATAGATAGATAGATAGATAGATAGATAGATAGATAGATAGATAGATAGA